TGGCAATATTATTCTACTTTGTATGCGGTTCTAGACTACGTTCATGGTATTGCATTAAGCAGCATTCTTTGCTCTCTAAAATAAGACCAACCGCTTGTCTCTACGATACTCCTAGGCCGAGATATTGGAGCGTAATCATGCCTCCCACAGGCCTCACGCCGCCTCGCATCCACAATATTCACTATTATAAATATGAATAGGATATAATCCTTCTCGCCTTTTGGCTTCTTTCTGGCTATTATCGTTTTCCGTCGCCGCTTGGAGCCCCGAGGCGCCGTGAGGCCTGTGGGAGGGGAAGTTTACGAGCCAATATCTCAGCCTAGGAGTATCGTATTGACAAGCGGTTGGTCTTGTTTTAGAGAGCAAAGAATTCTGCTTAATGCAATACCATAAAATTATTCTAGACTCGCAGGCAAAGTAGAATCATATTGCCGTGAAATAGCACTATTTTCCCGTTTTTCCGTTATAAACTCTAGGTGTTTATTAGCCCTTGGTATGATACGTATGCTAATTGCTTGTTGTTCCCTGTAGGATAACGTCAAGTACGTGAACAATACACTGAGTTACCAGAACTACGTCTCGCCCGACGCCAACGCATACAACAGTGACAGCAGCTACAACAATGGCAAGTCAGTGTCGGTATGTTGGCTCTTTTGACTTTTGTTTGCGTTTTACATACACGCGTACATGTGAATGTGAATATCTTAACGAGCACTGTTGCTGTTCGCGTGCCTAGCCTGGTACAATTGTAATAAATGTTGTCTATATGAACATGGTTGTCTTCCACGAGGGATAGGGGGAAGAATGATAATTAGAAGTGCATGGAAGAAGACAAGTCCTTATCTCCGGGAGCGGGAGCGGGAGCGGGAGCGGGAGCGGGAGCGGGAGCGGGAGCGGGTGGCATTTCGCGCCTAGTTTCAACGCGTAAATTAACCTTTCGAAATGCTAGGGGAGGGAAATGGGGGTGGGGAATGCCCAAATTCACCGCTGGGAATGCAAGGATAGGGGTGTAGGAAGGGCACATCTGTCTTCGAGGAAAGCTGGGAGAGAGGCGCGGGAATGGGCGTACAATAACCTTTAAGCATGCTGCTAGACGGTGGGGGATGGGTGCATATTTTCCTAGTAATGCCAGGAAAGTGGCGGGGGAAGGGGTGTAACAAAATCCCCTGCGGGGATACTGAGTGAGACAGGAGTGGGAAAAGGCGCAGCTTACCTTTGAAAATGTTGGAAGGAGTGGGGAAAGGGTAAAATATACATTTAGGGAAAGGAAGGGGGGAGAATTAATGCTACCTTTAGGAATGCTGGGGGATGAGGGAGACATGCCCTGACACTTGGGAACGTAGGGACAGGAGCAGGGGAAGAACGCATTTTTCTGTTTATTAATTATGACAGGGAGTGCAGGGGTAGAAATTAACTTTTGAACAAGGGAGTCCAACGGACTCCCTGCCCTCAAAAAGAGGGAGTCCGCAGCAAAATGAGGGAGTCCGTAGTCTGAAATTCAAAATTAAAGATTTGCTGAAAAAATATGGTAATTCCGCGAGGCCGCGCTCTGGACCGAACTGGTTAGTATAGCAGAATTTTCAGGGAGTCACACGGATTCCTGTAGATGTCAAATCAAGGAAGTAAATCAGTAAATCAGAGAGTATTTGACTCCGGACTCGTGTTAATTTCGCACCCTGGAGTGTATCGAAGGAAGGGTGTGGTTTACCACTCGGAATTCAGGGAGGGGGAGCGCGGGGGGGGGAGGTGCAGCCTCTGTTCCGGTTTATCGGATGAGTAGAATCCTGGAATGCTGGGAAAAGTTAGCGCCTACCCCCCCCCACTCCCGTGATGATGAGACATGGATGGTATTTCATCCTGTTGTCGCAGGGATCGTGTCTTGTGCGCGCGGATCTGCCGCTAGCGTTGTACCTGAGCAATGAATGGCAAGGAAACGTGCTGCGGTTGCAAACCAGGAAGAACCGGGTTTTTTTTTTTAATCTCGCGAATCGCAATAGCTTCGTCGTACGTGACCGAGCGCATGCGGATGCTAGATGACCAGGACCGTTGAAGACTGGCGTACGTGCGCACGCACTCACGCGTTCTCGCACATTTCCCCGTGGCGTACGAACGCACACACGCACGGGGAAAAAACACGCTCATGTACGGCCGCGTTGACACACACACGTACTCGCACGAGTCACGCCACGCACTAAACGCAGACATGTACGCGCGTGCACGCACGCACTAACGCAGACATGCACGCACGCACGCCGCCACTACGTGCAGACATTGCACCAGCGCGCGCTTCCGCCGCATCCTCCGCGGCTTGGTAACAGCGGTTAAGCTCTACGTCGACGGCCGCGAACATGCACATACGCACACACGCAGACATGCACGCACGCACGCACGCGAACACGCATGCGCGCTCCCCGCGCGTAAACGAACTGCGTAACAGCAGTTAACTACGCACGCGCACATACGCAGCGCACGCACACACACACGCACGCACGCACACATACGCCACGCACGCACGCACCACGACGCACGCACGCACGCCACGCAAGGTGCTGGCGAGTTGGAGGATGCGCAGTGGGGCGCTTTGTCTTAGTATTTCGAATGATTGCGTCTGTACAAAAGGCATTAGTGCTGCAGTCGCTCTGCATCCGGCACCCGGTGGCTCCAGCCGAGCACGTCTATACAGGATATATGTGACTTGCCGTAATGCGGAGTAGACTCAGTAAGACAACAGCAGGAGGCGAGGCGTTCACGGGGAGTGCCAGCCAGCAGCTCAATCTAATCTTTCGCGCATGCATATAAATCACGTCTGTTCGCAGCGCAGCTGTAAATTGTATCTCCTTGGGTTTTTTTTTCTGTCGTGAAGACGTAGGGTACTGTATGAAAACACTCGTCTATACCCGTACTGGTATGTTCCTGCACGTATGATCTTGGAGTATTATCAGACTTCTTATTAGAGATTAGATTATTATCAGATTATGGACTGATTATCAGAATGATTACTCCAAGGTATGATATATATCAGGAGTAGATAATAGGGAATTATCTATAGGGATTAATAATAAAGGGAATTAAAAATTAAAAATAAAGGAATTAATAATAGGGAATTAAAATAATCCCTATCATCTACTTCTGATATATATACTTGGCGTATCATACAAAAACAATAGGGAAATTAAGGAAACATACACATAGAATAGAGCGACGAGCAAATTTCGGTTGTGCTAGTTTTTTCTCGCTCTCCGCCACCACCACCGCGCGTACTAAATCAGGAAATATTCCGGCCATCGCGCACTGAAATGTGGGTCCTTGGAGTTTACTTTGATCAGGGGAAGTGGGGTAATGGCGGTGCAAACTCTGGGTTAATGACTGTCAAAAACCGTGCGCCGCGACACATCCTTTCGAAATGGGTTGACATGCCGGTCTCTCTGGCACGCCGAAGAAGATGATCTAGAATCTGAAGCTGGTCATGCGTGACCGCCGCTGTTTCCTAGTCGCCCCTCACCCTGCTGTTGTCCCGCGCTTCGCTTCCGACAGCGAGCGAGCGAGAGAGAGAGAAAGAGAGAGAGAGAGAGAGCAGGAGAGAAAGAAACGCGCCGGCGCGAGGAGAGAAGAGCGAAGAGAAAAGAGAGCAGAGAGAGACGAGCGAGAGTGAGAGCCGAGAGAAGAGAAGAGAGACCAGAGAGACGGGAGAGAGAGAGAGAGTGAGAGGACCCGAACAGAGAAGAGCGACGGAGAGAGAGAGAAAGCGTGCGAGAGAGAAAGCGCCGCGCAAGGAGAGAGCGACGAGAGAGCAGAGAAGATGAGAGCGAGAGAGAGAAAAGAAAGAGCTGATGAGCAGAAAGCAGAAGAAGAGATAGAGCAAGAAAGGAGCGACGGAGAGAGCGAGAGAGGAAGGAAGAGAGAGATGAGAGAGAGAAGAAAGAAAGAGCGAGCGAAGAGAAGAGAGAGAGAGAGAGAGAGAGAGAGGAGAGGAAGGAGAGAGAGAGAGGAGAGAGACGAGAGGAAGAGCGCGCCCTGCGCGCGAGGAGTAGAGGAGACAGGGCGCAGAGGCGGGGCGCGTCGGCGTGAAGGGATCAGTGCGTGCCGCACTCGCGTGCACTGCACGTGCGCTGCGGGAACACCGCAGTCCGCCGGGTGTCATCCCCTCGTCTGTTGCCCGCTCGTCCCACCTGTGTGGGTGTGTGTGTTGTTGCTCTCGCTTGCACCTCGCGTGCTCGCATTCATTCATCGCCTTCCTTTCCGCGTGGCCCGGCTCATGTTCATTCCGGGGATCCAGGCCGTACAGCGTCCGAGAAAACAGAAGCGCTCACACGACAGGGGTTGTACCCGTGATCAGTAATTCCCAGCGCGAAATCACGGCCGGTGTGTGCGTTCGTCGCGAGGATCCATCTCGGTCCCTGCGGACGTGTCGTCTCCAAACGGGAAACGCGTGTTCGGCGTGGTTTAGCGTCACCAGGAAACGCGTGTTTGTTGATGTCTGCAGCGTTTCTTACTGAAACGCGCGTTCCGTGTGGTGTGTTCCTCTTGGCAGTTTCTCGTGTCGTTAGGGAAACACCGCGATTGTGTTCATTAGAGATTCTTCGTTGCCACGGAAACACGCGTGTAGTTCTTAGTAGATCTTCGTTGCACGGAAACAGCGTGTCGCTGTTGCCATTAAATATTTCAACGTGCCACACCCCTGCTGTTGATTAAAAGATTCTGTCGTTTGGGACCGCGACACGCGTGGGTTCATTGGAGAGTCTAACGTTGCCACATAAAACACAGCATACGTTGTGCGTGTGTCAATTGGCAGTTATAGGCGTCACAAAAACAACCGCGCGTGTGCTTTCTCCTGGCGATCGGCTCTCCATCGTACCCACGCCGAAACCACGACTCTGCGCAGACAGGGACGTGGGCGACGGTGGTGGTGCTCACGTGTCAGCTGAAGTCGGAGAAAAGCTTCGCTGTCCGCGGCACCAGAGGCGCGCAAGGTCGACGCCTCTCCTTTATCGTTGGTGCTGGCCATTCGCGGTTGAATGCCGCGAGCCTATTGCAGCGTTTTGGCTAGCCTCCCGATCGGGCATGAAAGTAAGTCTGCTATGGCTTTATGAACGAAACACAGGCTTGGCAGAGACACCAATGGTTAATTGACTTTGGAAGGGTAGAGCTTCGCGTTTGCGTGGATGTATTATTGCATCGGCGGTATAGACAAATTGCACAGACTATATAGCTGTGCCGATTATACGACAAGTTTAACATATTCTGTCCAGAGCGATCCCCCTCCCGAGTTGAAGGCAACAATGTGTCAGCACGTGTTAGAAATGAGAACCTAAGGGGACAACTAGGTAGCACTAACTAATAGACTAGCTAACAGGACTCAGCGTAGGCTTAAGCAGTTAATGTTAGCAGCGGCGACAATTGTCGTGCTGGTGCTTCTCAACCACAGACAAACTCTACGCTGCATCGCTCGTCTTTTGAAACTATATGTATGTATGTATGTATACTATATGTATTATTATATATATATTATACTATATATATCTATATATAAATATAAATAACGTATGTATGTATATATAATATATATGTATTATGGTTAAAAGCCGGTCATGATCGCTTTGTAAAAGCTGCAATAGCTTGCGATTTTAATTACATGGACG